CGTTGACATATATTCGTCTAATGTTTGGTATCTCCGGAAAAGTTAAAATGATATGAATTCAAAACACACTTTGAAGAGAATAATAGTAACGGCGCAAAAAATAGAGTATCCCGAGTTTCTCACTGCGCAAGTGTAATACAAGGGTATTATAATTGATTCAAAATGAATAGCAGATTAGATTTTGTTGTTGCTCGGTAAGTAAGGAGATCTTCTGTGTATCCAGTACACAACTTGTTATCTGCAAACATACTCCGCAGCCTAAAACAAAGCTTAAAGAGCTGAAAAAGTGACTTTTTGAAAATCTAGCCATGTAGAACAAAAAATTGCAAATGACTGCAAATAGTCTCATGACAGTCGAGGTTTAAAGTCTGAAGTTATTCCTCAAATTGTGGCTATTACAATAAGTAGAATTTTTTCCAAAGATCTGCTTGTCAAAACGAAATTATTCTCTAATTAAGCCCTGTCACTATGCCCTAATGCGTGCATACACCACCGATGTTCTGCACGTTAACTGATCCAATAATCGAATTTGTCGTCTTTTCCAAAAGGTAGCAATTTTCCAGCAGTCCTGGAGCTAAGCCAAGAGTAACAGGCAAGCACAACTTAAGTTATAACTTACAATATTTTAGCACGGAAAAAACTTCGAAGAACTCTATCTAAAGGACCATGGGCGAGTGAGACAAAATGTCTCCGTTAACTTACAGATTTGGGGGTATTCATTAGTCGGTATGTTGAGATTCTTTTGGCTAAGTAATGTCATGGCAAGGGTCTAGGTTTAGATATTTGAAGACAATGCTATTGACAGTCAGGTGAGAGAGCAACCTGTCTTTACCTTTGCAGAACACAACAAAGAAACGTCAAAATCAAGGTTTACGGTTGACTGGCACCCAACGACTTCCGCCATAAAGATCTGCGCGTCTGTGAGGTAAATTCAATATCGGTTCTCTTCACGAATTAGTAATCTAATGCCGCTGCTTTGTACCAGAACTCTGTACACAGAGGAGGCTTTTGACATTAAGCGCTCCTCAGAAGCCTGCAGCACTCTTAAAATGGATCTAGACAATGAAGTTAGAATATTACCGATAATTATTCACAGTTTGGTTAGCACTCGAACAGTACTGCAACACAGGAATGGCCAGTCTATGGCAAGAACATAATTACTTTTTCATATTCGAATTTGACGATGCTGTCTGTGTTGTAGGCAGGAACAATTTCTATCAAACTAAGAAAAGCTACGGACGGATTAAGAAAATTTTCTGGGTTGTTGCAGAAAAGTGTGCCTGAAGACAATGTTAGCGCAAAAGTAGGAGTGGAGAACTTTTAGTTGTTAGACGCGTCGCGAAGATTGCACGCTGATATCTCTAGAAGATGTAAGCCAGGGGAGGTACAGGGTGTCCCAAACGTCTTGGAGCCTAGTATTTCTTA